TATTTATATACGAATGCGTGTGTACATACTGTGTGCCCCCTTTTAAATTACACAACACCACTGTTCATCATCCCATTCCCCTTTGCATACTATCTCGTCGTATATATCATATGCTAATTATAAATATACCACTGAATGGTTTGCAGCGAACGGAACAAAACTATTTATAAGACTTTCCATACAATTGTATAATACATGTGAAGAGAATAGTGGTATAAATCTGATGGCAATTGCAATGAGTTTTTATATCACCACTCGTTGTCTGAATGATATGAATATTTCAAATACAGTGGCGCTTATGAAGCAGTTTTTCCTATATAATGGTGAGATTCTGTATGAATTCCAGACACCAGTTCCCCAGCAATGAGTTTTTATATCACCACTCGTTGTCTGAATGATATGAATATTTCAAATACAGTGGCGCTTATGAAGCAGTTTTTCCTATATAATGGTGAGATTCTGTATGAATTCCAGACACCAGTTCCCCTATTCAGACACCAGTTCCCCATTTGATTCCTTATAAAACCTTCTACGGAGTGAGTCAACTGTTAATATAAACATAAATACAGAATTTGATTGAAATTTATTGTGTCATTATTATTATTGGAAATAGTTTTATAAACTTATTAAACTTTTCATTAGAAATAAATATTTGTATATTCAGTGCATTATATTTGTTTGAGTATGAATACATTTTATAGTCTATTACCCGCTATAATAGACTTTCTATGAATATTATGTTAAAAATTGTTATTTAATATCTACTTAAATATAAATAAAATAAATGTCTTCACTATACAGACCATTAGTGTATGAAATATAATACAGATTTTTGTGTTCATTAAATTTAATATGATTTCACGTTATTATTATACATTAAAAATTGGGTCAAAAAACAAATAACAAAAATCTCGGTTTTAAACTATTGTACAAGAATTAAAAAGTTATTTTTTAGATTTAATAATAGTCTGAATCATGACTTAAGTGCTTAATTCACGTATGATTTTGTGCGATGACATGGGATGGGAAGGAAAGGGATTTCAAAACAATATAATTAATTATGTATTATAATTAAACACACGATAGGAATACATTAAACACTCGTTAATTCAGTGGTAAACTACAGTAGTTATAGTGAACTATAGTTTTTTAAAACATGTTAATTATAAGAAGTTTAATAATGTCTTTTGTTTTATGTACTTGTATTATTTTTATGGATTTTTAATTAGCATGCAATCAATTTATTATAAAAAATTTAGGTTCATTGTAATTTATTTTGTTTTAAATTTTGATTTTTTGCATACTTTCCTAAAATAAATTTTTGATAGTTGACTAAATATTTTTGTATACTAATTAATAACAACAATAATAATAATTTATTAATTAACTATAAAAACAAAACACGATTCATAAAATACACATGAGTTAAAATGCTAATTAGTTTAGGATTTAATTATTTAATAATTTTTAATATGTTGTATTGAATTAAGTTTTAACTTAGCTATACAGCATAGCTAGTAAATTCATAGCTAATGTTATTCACACTATTAATGACATAACATATGCATTCATTCAGTAACCATCTATAATCCGTGTCATTTTAAGCGTATATTTAATACTTAAATAATTTTTTATGAATTTACACAAAATATTTATAGTATTTAGACAAACAGTTAATGAAAAAAGTAGTTGATATGAAAAACTCGACATTCATTACAATACAATGACTCCGAGAATTGATATATAAGTATAGCATAAGATTGATATCAATTTACATTTCTTTATAACATAAAGAAAAGTATTATTATTACAGTAATGTTAATTGTATATCAATTGTGAGCCAAGGCCTGGGTATGGCGTATGGGAACGGTATTCAAGAAATATTGTATAAGCATTTTGTCATCCGTTATAAATAATCATTCATTTATTTGTCATAAAGTTTTTACTGCTTACGATTGCAGATAATTAGTAATATAACAAAAAAGTTTCTCAAAACACATTTTAATTTATGTACGAAGTGTATGGTGTCATCATTGGGTGATACCATACATCCCGATCCCCAAACAACAACACATCCTTAGACTTGGGGGTCAATACCACTAGCGATTGACTTTTTGTTATTATTTTATTGTTTTATTACCAGATTTTTCGTATGATTTTTGTTGTGAGACTCGCTTTAATTGATGAGCGAATGTAATGCGAAAAAACTTTTTAAAACTTTGTGTTTTTATGTGAGAGAAAAATAGTTTTTAATACATTTTCTTACGCTTTAATAGCGTGACTGATATTATTCACTACAATAACACATATAAAATATATCGTGTTTTTCATTATTATAAATAAAATGACTTTTATAATANTTGTGTTTTTATGTGAGAGAAAAATAGTTTTTAATACATTTTCTTACGCTTTAATAGCGTGACTGATATTATTCACTACAATAACACATATAAAATATATCGTGTTTTTCATTATTATAAATAAAATGACTTTTATAATATTTTCAATGCAAAATTTATCAAAACAATTGTTTGTATATAACAAATGCCAGTAAACTCTATGTTAAAATTATTTTAGGTTCACTATTTTATTAGTGTATACTCAATGCACTTATAGGCACTCACATATAAATTATCTAGTATATTTTAATATTTAGCTATTAAATGAGATACAGTAGTGTTTATAAAAACACCGATTCTGTGGGCGTATTGTGAGTGAAGTGTATATTCTGTTGAATACATAATAAATTAGTTAATGTCTCGCAGACTAACAAACAAACACAAGTGAATTAATTTTGCTGTCAATTATTAGTTTGGAAAAGTTTTTGTTATTTTCCAAAGTCAATGACTTTGTATTTGTTTTTCAATCGCACAATAAGATTATCCCTAATACCTTACCACTAATAGTGAGCACACGATTCGTATAGTATTATATGCATAGCACACCCCCACCTAAGATTATACTGATATACTATTCACACACACGGCATGGGGTCTATAAGTCTACCCTATGTATTATATGGTATAAGTGGGGTGGGGTAGTTATGAGCTCATGGAGGGTGTATTTGTGTCCAATTTTATACACTACGCCCGGACTATAATGGTTAGCATTTTGTTAGACGAAAGATGTTTGTCTGAAAATTACTTTGAAATGCAAAGCGATTTAAATGAATGAATAAATTTTGCCAAAAATTTCTTTTTGTTGTTTTATTTTCTCGTTTTTGTGTACATTATGCTCATAACAGATGAGAAATGTTATGCCATTTAAATGTTAAGAATATATTCGCTATATTATCTCATGTTTTTCAATAGCTCTCTCTCTCTCTCTCTCTCTCTCTCTCTCTCGCAGACTAATAATAAACAGTAATATAATAAAAGTCAAAATTATATAATTTATATAATAAATATATTTGTTAGTGCATATATATTTATGTTTACGAATAATTATAAAACTTTTTTTGCTGAGAGAGAGAGAGAGAGAGAGAGAGAGAGAGAGACTCTTTAATACAATACTATATATTTTTGAGACAAATAAAAATCGACTGAAACTCAAAATACTATAACGAGATTCTAGTTTAGTCGAGGGGNAGAGAGAGAGAGAGAGAGAGAGATTCCATAACAACACAGAATTTGAATAATATTTATGTTAAAAATATAATTGTGAAAAATATATGCGATAAACATGCAATCAATTCAAAACAAATATTTGTGAATCAAATTCATTGAAAGTTTTTAGAGAAAAGTGAAATAAAAATAAAAACTTTTCAAAATGAAAGGAATTTTATACAATTTTAATGGAAAATGAGTAAAAAACCCTATTTTAATGTGTATTTTTAACCAGATTTTTAATTTAAAAATAAATTCTTGCGACTTAATTTGTGCTAGCTAACTGACTAAAAATGTATACATTTACCTATATGTCTGTAACTTTATATCTAAATTATTATTTTTAATACAATAATTAGTACAAAACTTATGAAATTTATGTTAAACTATTGGTAGCACTGTTGGGTAACTGTATTTAATTTATCACCAAGATATAGAATAATTATTATTGTGTAATTCAATACGAAAACAAATCCAGAATATATCAATTCTCTACACAAAACACCAGTTCCTACCTCCCTGTCCCCGTACGGCATATGTGAACAGTCCCTCAGAGTATAACCAGTTTGACGGATAGGTGGGTCTCATCGCCACAACGTTAGCGTACGTACGACTGGCAGCGCCAGTATGTGTGCGTCCGTTGCCTGTGCATTGCCGTAGAGGTGAGCCACTCCTTATTAAAATATAAATTATATAATTTTGACTTTTATTATATTACTGTTTATTATTAGTCTGCGAGAGAGAGAGAGAGAGAGAGAGAGAGAGAGAGAGATTCCATAACAACACAGAATTTGAATAATATTTATGTCAAAAATATAATTGTGAAAAATATATGCGATAAACATGCAATCAATTCAAAACAAATATTTGTGAATCAAATTCATTGAAAGTTTATAGAGAAAAGTGAAATAAAAAAAACTTTTCAAAATGAAAGGAATTTTATACAATTTTAGTGGAAAATAAGTAAAAAACCCTATTTTAATGTGTATTTTTAACCAGATTTTTAATTTAAAAATAAATTCTTGCGACTTAATTTGTGCTAGCTAACTGGCTAAAAATGTATACATTTACCTATATGTCTGTAACTTTATATCTAAATTATTATTTTTAATACAATAATTAGTACAAAATTTATGAAATTTATGTTAAACTATTGGTAGCACTGTTGGGTAACTGTATTTAATTTATCACCAAGGTATAGAATAATTATTATTGTGTAATTCAATACGAAAACAAATCCAGAATATATAAATTCTCTACACAAAACACCAGTTCCTACCTCCCTGTCCCCGTACGGCATATGTGAACAGTCCCTCATAGTATAACCAGTTTGACGGATAGGTGGGTCTCATCGCCACAACGTTAGCGTACGTACGACTGGCAGCGCCAGTATGTGTGCGTCCGTTGCCTGTGCATTGCCGTAGAGGTGAGCCACTCCTTATTAAAAGGCCTACCAGTGCTGTATCGCATAGGGGACTGGTATGCTAGTGAATGCCAGTGCAAAACACACACTCTTGCAGACTGACAGTGCGTTTAGTTGTGTGCGGAGAGAGTGCTTACAATATACTGACGATCAGTGTTTGACTCCATATATGATAATAACAGTTGTGTTGTATTCACAGCCCATTCATACCACTCACACGTTATAATCGGTATTTTCGGTACCGATTAAAGTTTGTGTTAATTTCTAACACCCATTACCCGGATCACTTGGCAATCGGTGGCTCACATACCCGGCTAACACACCATGGCTGACGATAATGACGGCGATGAGTTCGAGTTTGAATATACCAAGGTATTGGTCCAATGTTATGTATGTTATGTAGCTAGCGTATATTTTCAGTGTCTAATGTCAATGTATGCATAAAACATTGCATCTATTTATACTATGGTGTGTGAATACCCTGAGTATTATTTTTCAATGGCTTATTACTAAATACAGTCTATTAAAAAACATTTTAAATAATAGTAAAATGATCCGGGTTTACAATATCGATAAGCTTGATATTTATAAACATGTTATTAACTTCACACATGACTCATACAGTTATCGCTAATTTGCTATAAAGTTATAAATATGTGATTAATATGTTATGATTCCCGGGAATAATGGTATTAGTCATGATATTTTTGTTTATGTTATGATAGGTACCCTGTTTATAAATTATGTGAATTGATTTGAGTGTATGGTGGGGACCACCTATTGCGGGACCATTTAAATGGTTAATGTTTTCGGTGGTGACAGTATATAGTCGTGTGTATTGTGTTATGGTATGGCATATAATGCCTACCATTAAGTCCTATCCTTGAATAACATTTACCTTTAGTTTTATTTTTATCCACACTTTGATGATCACTGGATATAATTGTATAGTGTATTGGATTTTGTGTACAATAAAAGTCTGTATATCTATATAACTATTGCTTAGAAATTACGTATAAAAGCCGTGAGATTAGCGTATAATAGGATTAACGGGATATTCATTGTCTATAATAGTTGTAAAACTTTTAATACGCGTATAGTTTTTAGGTTTAATTAATTTTTTTGTATAAGATATCAAGTGTTTTGTTTGTAATGTTTAGTGAAGTTTTGTAAATATTATTGAGAAATAAGTTTTTTGTGTTAAAATAAATATTTTTCATTTCATTAGATGTTTTGACTGAATATTTTCTTATGAAATAAATGTATATTTGTTGTGAAAAACTAAGTAATTATTTATTCATTTTGTTTTCTAATGACAGATATTATGTGGGGTTTCGAGAGGTTTTCGTAACTATTATACCGTTTTGTGTTGAATTTCATTGAAGTTTTTGTTTTAATGAAAATACTTTTCATACGTTTTGCCACTAATTGTCTAAATTTTTAACACCCCTTATAAACATATAGCTATTGTTTTGAAATCTAATTAATGTGTTGTGTTTTAATTATAATTTTAGTTTTTTTGTGTTTAAGTTTTACGTCTTTATTCAGATTTATTTGTCATATAATTAAATGTTTGTCTCGTTTTTCATGCAACAAATTATAATCGCTTTTTGATTATAATATGGTATAAAAATGGTTGTGAAAAACAACAAATATCTGTTTTTTGAATTAAAAATATTTTAGTTATTTGTGAGACATATGCAGGATATTTAGTGTTTGTTAGGGAAATGTAGGGGAAAGGGATGTGATATGTAGGCACAGAATATTCTGTGAGATTTTTACTCGTATTTAGTTTACTTGTAGAAAATGTGTTAAATTTTATGATTAAAATTATATTAAATTTAGTTTTATATAACTTTTTATGTAAGGTTTAAAATTATAAATATTTTTGTGAAACATATGGTATTTTTGGGTTAATTTATAGTCGATAACTCCCTGCATATCCATTGCCATTATAACTGTATGTTTTGACTATAGATATTGAATCAAAGCCCACATAATTCATACCGAGTTTGTGCACCGGCATTAAGGTTATATTAATATAAATATAACCTTGATAGTCACAGTTGATATCCAGGCTAATTTTGTGCATTATTTGTGCGTAATACCCTTCCATATGTTTTGCAAAAAATAATTATTTTTGTTTATTTTAAGCGAAATATATTTTTTCAGTCGTTTTTAATGATTAGGAATTTTAGAGAGAATTTTGTTTTTAATTTTTTATTAGAAAATATATTTTTTGTGAACATATTTTTAAATTGATATATGATATGAAATAAATCTTTATTAAATTTAATATAATTGTTTTAAATTCAATGTTTTTCGATAGCGACTCGTATATCAATACAATTGTATTTTTAAATGTATTTTGAATGTCATGTAAAATTGAAAAATGTGTAATAATTCCCAGAAAACCACTTAATTATATGACTGATCACACAATGCATGTGTTGTTTGTATAATATATTTGCGACAATATACAAGAAATAAATATTTCAACACTTTTTTATATACCGATTGCGATATTAGATATGATATGACATTCAAAATGTATAGCATTTTGTAATTTAGAAATGTATTAAGTTTATGCGATATTATCGCATAATTTAAACAACAATTCAATACCCATAGGAAATGGGTGTCATATTTATAGTAGTGAATTGTCTGTACATTAAATTCCTAGATATTCGATACATGTATAGTGTACTGATTAGTATTAGTGAACTGGATACATATAATATAGATTTATATACACCGACCTAAATGTTGATTTAAAATATATGTATGGTTGTGATAAATAAGTTACTTTGCATTATCTTACGATGATTTTTAAATCTTACTTGATTAATTGACATATTTTCTAGGTTTGATTGAAAATATTGTATTTGTTTTGTGCGATAGATTTGAAAACAATGTTTCAAAATATTTCTTATGGAATGCAAAAAAGTAGATAAAAGTCGAGAGAGAGAGAGAGAGAGAGAGAGGGGAGAGAGATAAAATACTTATGTATAGTCAACAACAGCAAAATTACATAATTGTACAGTATAATACAATTTAGATATTGAAAAACACAATAGAAACTAGCTAAAATGAACTTCTAATAATTTTTATATCCTGTAAATAATGTACAAAATTTTATGCTTTTCTATAAAATATAAATATAATGCCCTTTAAATTGCAAACCCATTGTAATATAGCCATTGACTTACGGGAATAATGTACGGAAATGTGTGTATAATTGAAAAATTGTCGATCAATTCACTGCAAAACAGTCTATAAAAGTGTTCAAAAATATATTGACGTAAATAACAAACAGCTGTGAATAAGTGTGAAGTATAGTAGTGATCGGGAAATGGTGTGAAAATTTATTTGAAACCAAAATACACTGATTTATAGTATTTTCCGATGAAAATAATCAGCAAAAAACGGTTTCAAAGAGTTTGAAAAACTCTCATTTCGCTGAACATATCATACATTTTATTCTCGTTTTTCATGAACTTATTTGTTATTCGCTCTGAAATTCAGGAAAACTTTTTTATTTTGTGTTTTGTGTAGCAAATTATTTATTGTTTTTGGCACTCACCTGATAGACAGGTGCTTATTGTGTGGTGACCTCATATATCGCATCCTAATCCTTATTAAATACAATATACTTGTCTCTCTGGATATCCATAACCCACTTCCCCGATGATTATGATGAGCGCCACCACCTCATGCCTATTTAAATACAATGAAATATTTATTATTGTTTTTTGTTTGATACCATTTATCTGGATACTGCATCTTAATTGTGAATAATTAAAATTGTTATTTGTTTTTCCATATAATGTTAGGAATCATCGCTTTTGTGATTAAAATATTTTTATTGTTTTTATGTTTAATTCACTAAACAATAGTTTTGTAATCAAAATGAGTTTTGACTTAATTTTTATATACAGTGTGTTGTCAATAGTGAGCTAAAAATTCATAAAAAGTATACTTTTTAAAAGTTTTTTTGACACTTATTTAGACAATAAAAATACAGTAATTAAAATATTTAATTGAATTCTCTCTCTCTCTCTCTCTCTCTCTCTCTCTCTCTCTCTCTCGTATAGAATAAACAGTAAAATGTGTCCACAATTGACAACAAAATTACTATTTATGTCAAAAATTGTTAAACATTTAGTATTTAAAAGACAATCTCTTTCTGTCATTCAAGTGATTTGTATGGGAAATGTCTACTCAATAGTGAAAATATTCTTGAAAAATGAATATTTATTTAAATGTTTTGTGTTTAGAAAAACAAAAACAATAATAAGTGAAACCTATGCTTATGGGGACCAATGATTTCATGCATAAGAAATTTTTTGGTTCACATAATTGTTATCATTATGATTATGATTGTCGAGTATATTTAGGTTTGGGATTATAGACGGCATTTGAAATGCAAATGAATTTTTGTGTTTGAGATTTTGTGTTGTTTGCCGCGTAACTGGGTTATTAAAAATTATAATTTACACTAATTATTATAATGATACGTGTGTAATTATGTGTTTATAATTGAGATATTATTTGTTAATTATGCTAGAGATGTCCATGTTAATTATGATTTTAATTTTGATGAATTTATTTTAAACTAAACATTAAGTGAATGTAACATAAATTAATTTAATTTTTATTATTAGGTTAGGTTAGGTTACAGTTAGTTTCCATTTTGTTTGCATACCTAAGTTATATTATTTAGTTTTTAACTTATTGATAGTACTTATTGAGGATTATATGTTTGGTAATTGCTTTTCAACAAAAACTATTTTTAATTCCCGATTTTTGAATGAAAACTCGTGAAAGAGTTATGCGTTTTTAAATGTAGTGTTAGTTTTGAAATATTTTGAATGATTAGAAAAACAAAATATTTTTCAAAACGATTAGATGAAAGTTTTCGGAGAGAGATGGGGTGAAAGTGAATGGTTGGCTTTGAGCGCCGGTATGTTTGTGTGTTGGGAGTCGGGATGTAAATGGGTTTTGGATTAGGATTACCGGCGCATAGATGGAGAGAGGGATGGGATGCTGAGGATGAGGATCGGCACAAACTTCTTGTATTGGCGCTCACCATAGAGTGTATGCGCTCTGAGAGAGAAAGAGAGAGTGAGAGAGAGAGGAGAGAAAGAGAGAGCTACTGTAAAATCATTGAGTACTCTGTGAAACACCAAAAACGCTGTTTAACAGGGAAGAGAGAGAGAGAGAGAGAGAGAGAGAGAGAGAGAGAGACGACTGGTATAGAGTGGTGGTGGTGTGGAAAGGGATCTAAATCGGGAGCGAATGTTGTTATTTATAGCGCCGTTCGGTTGTATGCATTCAAATGCCCTTCCATTCAATGAATACTTATTTAGTTAAACAGCGTTTTTGGTGTTTCACAGAGTACTCAATGATTTTACAGTAGCTCTCTCTTTCTCTCCTCTCTCTCTCTCTCTCTCTTTCTCTCTCTTTCTCTCTTTCTCTCCTCTCTCTCTCTCTCTCTCTCTCTCTTTCTCTCTCTTTCTCTCTTTCTCTCTCTCTCTCTCTACCATACATATAGCGATTTAGCGAGTAATAGCGCCGTTCATGTGACCAGTTATACTAGCGCCGGGATTAGGCACACGGATGATCACCACAACAGGCTGTCACTCAAAGCGCGCATACATTAAGCACTCATAAGAATATTCTTATAGCTAACAATTATTTATTTATTATTCTTAAAAGTATTTCCAAGAATATTGTCGTGTATTCGCCGGGATTTTCCGCAGAATCGCTACAAAAATACAAAAATAAAAAGGCTTTCCGTTTGATTGTCTGCGTGTTGTAAACAAATTGCGGGAAAAGTTTTTAAAAAAGTTTTTTTTATTTATGTTTTATTTATATGTTTTACAGAATCGGCAGAAATTCATAGGTTTTTCGTACTCTGAATAAAAAGGCATTCATATCATGCGAAAAGTGATATATGAATGCAAATTGTTTTCTCTGTTTGAGAGACATTTGACAAAAAATTCTTACAATTATTTAATACATCGCTAGAGAGATATGAGTGTCTGTGTGTTGGGTGGGGATAGGGATCGTAGGGGTAGGGATGAGATGGGAAGACCTTATGATTTCTCCAGTGATGAACTGCTGTTTCATATGAAGTCTGATGTGGCGCTGAAATTCCTGTGCAAACCGTTTTTTATGATGAGTTCCCCTCCAAAAACGATTGGATACATGCATACAGTCAGTTGGTTGTGGGTATGAGTGCCAACGAGACTGTGATCCAAGTATTTTTTGAGATGGTATTCCCATGCGATGCTGTCATTGATGGGAATGGGATGTGATTTTTGCGAGTCGTTAGTAGTCGTGATACTCCGCGAGTCAATTGTCTCATAGGAATTGCGATAATCAACAGAATATTCATTTCAAGAATCGCATTGTTATGTGAATGTATAAAGAGTTATAAATATATAGTGTTATAATATACAGTATATAAAAAGGTTTAGTGTTTTATAAAATGTTATTTGAATTTCACAAACGATTTGCACGTCAAATGACTGATGTATTTGCGTTTTGTATTGTAATTAAAGTTTTTTCTAATGCATAACTAAGTTATTTGCGATTATAATCGTATTTGTTGTTAATATATATACGACTAAAAGTGATAAATGTGTGTAAAAAATGTTGCATTTTTTCTCAAATCCAAACCATTTCCCACGACTTGAATGTGTTTGCGATTACTATTGAAATAAAAGTGTACAATAAGTGAATTAAAAGTTGTGATCAATTTGTTTTGTGTATAATATTTAAAAGTCAAACTCGATTTCCATAACAAACTAAACATGAAATCCATTCGCTCTTCAATTTCATCCCTGAGTTCATCCATTAGTTCATCCATTAGTAGTAAAGTATGTATTAATAGACTGTATCTATAGTGGGCTCTCAATACAGTATAATGTATTCATTTGTATAGTGAACAGAATATTCTCAAAAAATGTATTTTAATTTAAAATTTAATATTTTTGCACTTTTGTTGGGCATATATGACTGGTATATAGTCTACAAATTGTGTGATATTTATGTGGTTTACTATATTGAGTGCTAACTTGTATTACACTATATGTGTGTCTATTTTAGAGGCGGAAGTACTGCCAGTTTTGCCATACATTCCCCTAAAGAATCATATCTTAAATATCGAAATATGTTTAAAAAAAGTTTATTTTGGCGAAAAAACCTATTAATATTAGTATGTTTCCAGAGTTTAGTCTAAAAACTAAACATTCAATCGATAGCTCGTATATAACTACCAGACAAATATTTTTTAGTTTTTAAAAATTTATTTGAACAAATTCTTAATTCTTAATGTGAGCCAGTCCATACATAAAATAAACTGAATCAACTGCCAATTATTTTTGCCAATTAATATCGCCAAAATAAAAACTAAGAGACTATTCATTTTATATAAAGTAGTAAAAAATGTATTAAAAATTATTTTAGATATTTTCTAACGTCATAATATTTACTATGAATCTCTCTCTCTCTCTCTCTCTCAGCATTTTGTTTGAATTATCAAAAATAAAATAACGCAAAGTGTTTAAAAACTTTAAGCCATTATTCCTAAACTTTTATTGTATGTTACGACTAGTACTCCATACAAGTGCCGATTCTGTGCTACTGTTGCACAACATATCCGCACACAAACTGTTTCATTACAAAACTAATATCTGATCTCTCGATGTCTGTCCACAACCCATAGATCACGAAAACGACGCGAACCATAAACCAGAGGCGACTGTCGGAGCGGCAGAACTCTGTAGAGAAGCCACAGGAGCCGAAGCTGAAGATGTTGTACGGACGGGACCTGAAGGAGTACGAGAACATGGACGTGGAGAACCTACTGTCCCAGTTGTCGGCTGATGAGTTGGCGCAGTTGAGCGAGGAGGTGGACCCGGATGATAATTTGCTGCCACCGTCGCAACGGTGTAAGGATCAGACCTCGAAGTCGGCCACCGGTCCGCTCAATAGGAAAAAGTTGTTGACTTTCCTGACGAAGTTCGCTGCGGAACAGGAGGACTGGCCAGAGTTGAAGCAGTTCCAGCCCGGCGTCAAGCGAGGTTGGTATGCCATACCTGTCCCCTGTGTTTGTGTGTGTGAGCACCGGTAGCTTTTGTGAAATGCCATTACACTCTCTCGACCATACAGTGAACTCCTATTATATTCATTTATTATATACACGGTATTTATTATGGCTTTTATTATTAGTTATAAAAAAAGTTTTTTTTTAGTTTTTTCGGATAAGTTTTGATTTGCGATGAAAAGCCGTTTGGAAAAACTTTTTGATGAAAAATTGTTGCACTTTTTTGACGTGTTTTTTGTTGTTGTCGTGTTGTGAGCATTAAAAATAAAACTTGAATTTTTTAGTTTTATTTTTATTTTTATTATTAGTTTTTTGTTATTGAAAATCCTTTTTTGTGTTGTATAAAGGCTTTGCGCCCCTCCCCCCCTCGAAAATAGTTTTTGTTACTGATTTACGCAACTGGGAAGTCAGTTTGCATCCCGGTGCGATTGCGGAAAAGGAGTTTATTATGATTTATTAATACCGCTTATTATTATTATCATTGCTCTTAATCTCGCAGTTTTATGCGTTAATTATTATATGCTTTTTGTGGAGATTATGTATTAAATTGTTAAGTAATTCCCTATTTATAACGCATAAAAGTGTTTTTTGTAATGCATGCCAATCCCTGTCCCTCCCGGGTCTATTGGAATTGGAGTTCAATATCTATTAAATTTAAATAGTATTTTATATTATTTATTAGTATGAAAAATATTTATGATCAAGCAATCAAGCCTGATATTGGCTATTTGTAACTTTTTTATGCGCTTAGCATGGAAATTCCTATACGAGTTGCCAAATTAATTATAGCAATTGCAATTTTATAAAAGTTTTTTATTATCATTTATCTCTGGATATAACTTCAATAACACATTGTTTTTAAAATAGCACTTGCATTTCACATAAAACATCAAGGTACAATATTTTTTGTTAATTGTGTAAGAATTGCATGTTATGCTTTTTTAAAAATTTAGTCTATGATTATTAATAAGTAAGTTATTGAATTTTTAATAGTTACATAAACAGCTGTTCACACTATAAACAGGGTTATTATAGACGCCAATGCCTACCACTATATGAGTGGAACTCATAATTAGTGACTAGTCTTAACAAATTCTGTGGTTTACTATTAAATGTTGGCTTAAAATCGCTCTCATAATAAATATTTAATAACTATTTTTGGATACCCATATAAAATGCATTGAATTTCAATATCAAGGCTTTTCGGAGTGATATGTGTTTAAAAAGTTAAAAATCTATTTTTTGCAAAACTTGTCTTATTTTTCGCTCCAAAGTATTCATTCGATCATTAGTTTAAGAGTTAGCGATGATTAGGCCTTCACTCCGATACTAATCCTTTTTTACTATAACTCTCTCTCTCTCTCTCTCTCTCTCGACTCGTAAACCCTTCCCTTTGTGTGCATAATATATAACATTTGGCACTCGAATAATACAATATTTTTTAAGCAACAAAATCTTTGTATTTTTAGCCCGATAGTTAACACCCGTTATAATCCAGTTATGGCAACGATTACTGCTAATACAGTACATATTACGTATATTTAGACACCACACACAGAATATTCTTGCTTTATTACCA